GAACAACCATTGTTCTTTTTATTATTATAATCAACAAAGATTGATTTATAATTGAACGATGTCTTTGAAATCTCTAATTCAAAACACTCCTTAATCCTTCCACTGCGGCAGATTTTAGGCAGAATCTTTCGTTTTGGTGTTTCAAAATATTTGAAATGAAAATTAAAAATTTATCGTTTTGAAATTTCTTTTATTAAAATTAAGGTGGAAATACGCAGAGGGTAAAAATTAGAGATTAAATTAAGGTGGAAGTGTGCCAAAAGGTGCCAAGGACATAATGCGAGAAAATATTCGAAACGCCTATAGGCGCCAAGGACACGCGAGAAAATATTCAAAGCGCCTATAGGCGCCAACGACAGTGAAAGGGTCAATGTGTGTTTCTTTATTTTCCTATATACCTCGAAAACTATAGAAGATATAAAAGAATTGTTAAAATGAAAATCTGATGATTCGTTGTGTTTTACAAAACTATGCAATTAAATTGTTAAAAATTTGTATTAATTTAATTGCAAATAATTTGAAAATTCAGTTTGCATTAAATTTTCATTTTACCCACTTCTTAATATCCACTATACTTTTCAATATATACAGTAAAAAGTAAAACACACGTTTAAGGGGTGTTTTCACCTTGAAGAACCAAAAATAAATTACCCGACACTTTTATCGAGGTCCTCGTAAACTTGTAAAGTTTGAAAAAAATCGGAATTTTCGTAGTACCGAAGTTCTCTTGTAAGAAACTCTTTTTCTGGGACATGGAACACGTTGAAATAAAAAAGAAAGAAAAAAAGATACTGTTATATATTTTTACCACCTGTGTCGGCCGTAAATAGTCTACACGATGGTTCCATCGAAAAGATGTTAATATAGTTTGCCTCTTGTATCCCGTCAAAACTCGTTCACGCGAGGCACGCGACGTTATCATCGCGTACACGTGTCATCTTCAATCATACTGAAATTCGTGTTCTTCAATGCCCATCCTCTCCCAAGTAGGCCTGCCGCTTCTGGTACAGCGGAGTATAGCCCGCCAGATTCAGCTGGTGGAGACGATCGGAAAAGGTCGCTTCGGCGAGGTCTGGCGTGGCCGTTGGAGGGGTGAAAACGTCGCGGTGAAGATCTTCAGCTCGCGAGAAGAGAGGTCTTGGTTCAGGGAGGCCGAAATTTATCAGACGGTGATGCTCAGGCACGACAATATCCTTGGGTTCATCGCTGCTGATAATAAAGGTACGTAACCATATTGCACAGGTATACTCCAAACTGAAGTGAAATTCAAACGAAACTTCTTTTTTTTCTTCTTTTTTTTTGGCTCACCGTTGAGAGAAGACGTGCACAGCTGGGTATTATATAAAGTGTGACTATAAAGTTTGGAGAATAATTCATTTGAAAATTTTATTCTCAAAATTAAGAGACTTCTGTTTTACAATAGAAATTCTTCTGTAGAATCTTATTTTCAAAATTAAGAGATTTCTCTTTTAGAATAAAAATTCTTTCCTAGAATTTTATTTTCAAAATTAAGAGATTCTCTTTTAGAATAAAAATTCTTTCCTAGAATAGTATTTTCAAAATTAAGAGACTTCTGTTTTACAATAGAAATTCTTCTTTAGAATCTTATTTTCAAAATTAAGAGACTTCTTTTTTAGAGTAGAAATTCTTTAGTAGAATTTTATTTTCAAGATTGCAAACTTCCAAAGAGGAAAATATGATTTCACAAGGTATACATTTTAACACACGTACACACTTGATCTGTACGGTCCCTTTGTTGTAAAATGATTTAGTAAGTGTCCTGGAAAAGTTTGTCGAGTTTCATACCAGGATACCCCGTGAAATGGCCTTTTGTTCGTACGGATGTCCTGAAATAACATTCACAGGTACAATGCTAACTGTGTTAAGCATACAGAGCGACCTATTTCAATGTATAAATACCCAAGACGAATAAGAATGGAACGTGTCCTGGTTCGATAGATTTTCCAAGGGACGTCGGAATATTAAAGCCTGTGAAAGCATCGAGAATATAATATACCGTTTAATACGAGGTCGGACGAGCAGACAACTTGTACACTGAACTTTAAATCAAATCACTTGGATAGATCAGTGGAGACGTTTACGTTGATTATTTATAAATTATCTTTCATTGCTTCATACATTACCACAGGTCACTATGTATACACATATGATTTCTTTTCGTTGCTAGACGACATGTGATTATTATTTTTTTTTTTTTTTGGCCTAAGCACTCTCGTCGGTTTTAACTAGTTTCTTCGAGATTTTAACGATCGATTGTACCTAGACTCTTATTACGAAGTCACGCTAATTACTGCGTTAGCATTATCATTTTATTCGAGCTGTTGTTTCTAGCGGAGAAGTTCTGGCGGTTCTAGATCAGCCGAATCCTTCACTCGAGTTGCGCGTCGAGATAAAACCCGAAATGGAGGATCTGTTTTGAAGTGATCCATAGTAATACTTGAAACACTTTTGCAATCTTTGAATTGGAGAAATGAAACGATAGTAAGCGTTTCTTCCAAAATGATAGAGTGGTGCTTATTAGCTTTATCAATTGAATAAAAATCACCAGGAACGTTTCAATTAAAATCCATCCGTTTAAAATAGCTTTACGCAATTTCCTAAAAGAATTTTCCAACATTTCAAAGTAAAAAATGAAAATACTACGGGGACTAAAATGTGGCAAGCCACCAAAAAAGGAAAGAAAAGATTAAAAATTTCCATGAACGTTTCAATTAAAATTCACAACTTCACAACTTCCTAGAAGAATTTTCCAACATTTCGAATGTTAAAAATGAAAATACTCTGGAGAGTACAACGTGTGGGAACCCACCAAAAAGGGAAAGAAAAAATTAAAAGGAACGTTTCAATTAAAATCCATTTTTTAAAATAGCTTTACTCAATTACCTAAAACAATTTTCCAATATTTCAAACGTTAGAAATGAAAATACTATAGGTACCAAAAAGTCTGGAGAAACCGTCAAAATTTCCTGCGCCCCTAATGCAAAGAGAAAAGAAAAGAAAAAAATTACAAAATTACACCACTTGTTTGAATGTGGAGTAAAAGCCAAGGTGCAACTTTGTGTTTTCCTTTCTCCCTAGATAATGGCACGTGGACCCAGCTGTGGCTAATCACGGATTATCACGAGAAGGGTTCGCTGTTCGATTATCTGAACAGATCGACCGTGGACACGAACGGTATGATCAGGATGGCCCTGTCGATCGCCACCGGGCTAGCACATCTTCACATGGAGATCGTTGGTACGCAAGGGAAGCCTGCCATCGCGCACAGGGATCTGAAGTCGAAAAATATCCTCGTGAAGACAAATGGCACATGCGCGATCGGCGATCTCGGATTGGCCGTCAGGCATGACGTAATAACAGACACCGTTGATATCCAGCTGAATAATCGGGTCGGCACCAAGCGGTACATGGCACCCGAGGTAATTTAAAAATAAAAATCTTCATCATTTACGATGGCCTGCGATTAACGCGTCTTGCGTTGGTCATCTGTGACGCACGATTATTATTAAGGGTAAAACATTCGTTTAAGGAGTATAGGGAGTATACTTTGTGGTTACGTTTCAGGTGAAATACGCGGGAAAGAATTCATAATTCTCCTTTCGATAAATGTTTTCGTCGATTTCTTTTTATTTCGTTTCACATAACCTCACTTTTCTTTATGTACTATTCAAATGTAATTTGATCAGTTGATGCTGTGTTAAATGTTTGTACCTTTCGTAAATGCAAACGCAGAATACAATTTTTAGGTTATATTTCGTATACAGATGAAGATTCTGATAAACGTGTGATTCGTTACAATTATAGCCATTTTTAGTTAAAAATATCGTTTATCTACTATATCAAATAAAATCGTAAGAGTGTATTTTGCGTTTCGGGTCGGTTTTATATACGTCACGCAGTATTTCGTCATCTTTCGCAGAAAAAGTTTTCACTTCGAAATCCTACCTTAAATCGTCGATTTCGGAATTAAACCTCGATTCACAAGACAGAAAGAAAGAAAAACGCCGGTGCTGGAGCTTTTCACTCCGGAGAAAGTTCCTCGTCCTCTTCTAAGCTCGAGAGTTCAGCTCCTGAGAATTGTTGCTTCTGCTTTCAGGTTCTCGAAGAGACGATAAACATGAACCACTTTGATTCCTTCAAGAGGGCTGACGTGTACGCTCTCGGGCTGATCCTCTGGGAGATCGCCAGGCGATGCAACGTCGGCGGAATTCACGACGAATATCAGCTGCCGTTTTACGATTTGGTGCCTTCCGATCCGACGATCGAAGAAATGCGTAAAGTTGTGTGCACCGACAGACAGAGGCCGTCGATACCGAATCGGTGGCAGTCGATCGATGTACGTTGGAATATCTAACCTAACCTAACTCTGTACATACGATGTACCTGATGTTTTTAAGAGAAAGTCAAGAAGGATCGAGCTCATGCCAAAATTTCCCTACTTTTCATGTATGCTACAGTAAAGGGATGGAAAATAAAAAACAATTTTCTACATATATCAAATATAAGAAATAAGATAATTGATATTCTTACTTTGAATTGATAGTAAACATATATGTTTATTAACTTTTCTTTGTATTGTACCTGAAATTCTTAATAATTGTATACAATTGTCAAATTTTACACCTTTACTGTAACATAGGCATTCATGCAGCGGGTAATAAGGTGTATTTAAGTATTGATTACTTAAGCACAAAAATATATATACTTTTGAAAGTTAACCTTAATTAAGCCATGATAATTCACCATTTCATAGCTTCTTTATAGTTACGAATTTCTATAATGTTCAATTAGTTTGAAGATATTTCTATGTAACACAACCATTCTCTTGTTTACTAGCATTCTAACCTCAAAGAGAAATAATATAAAGCACGCGTAACACTTACAATATCGATTTCTCTATTCACACTTTTTAACTGAAAGTAACAGTTTTAGAACATCACACACTGAATCTTATATTCTTCCGTTTCTTTCAGGCATTACAAGTGATGTCGAAGGTGATGAAGGAGTGTTGGTACCACAATGCGGCAGCTAGACTAACCGCGCTTAGGATTAAAAAATCACTCGCGAACTACGGCGCGATAGAGGACCTGAAGTGAAAGAGGCGAATCATGCCCCGATCGTTGAAACGACGGGGTAAGTGGAAGTGCTCGAAAAAAACACACGTGGACACTCACTTTAAACTGTAACACTTTTATCGCAATAAAACTTTTTAAGTGCCGTGTTACTGCGCGCGAGAAAGAGAGAATGGGGAAGAGAGAAAGAGTATATACATATAGGTTGAAAGCGAGAGAAAGAAAGAAAGAAAGAAAGAGAGAGAAAGAAAGAAAGGTCTTGAAGTGAGAAATTCTAATAGATGAAGCAGAGAGCCTAACGAAAGACTGGTTTAAAAAAAAAAACAAAGTAAAATAAAATCGAGACGACGTTCCTTTAAATCGCGTTGACTTGGTCAGGTGGTACCCTAATTTCGTGTATCAGCTTGTACGTATGAAGTAGCGGAATTATTCTATGTAAAAAGTGGGTGACAGAGGGTTAAAGAGCGAGTGAGAAAGAAAGAGAGAGATCGTAGTCAGGCAACTCGAAGTATGTTTTCTGAAATGAAGAAAAAAAAGTGAAGAAAAAAACGTTAACGAGCGACGACTGACAGAAACACGGACAGGGTCGGACGATGAACGTCCAAACACGAGCTGGGGGAATATCGATCGATCGATCGAACAAAAAGGGATGAATTAAAATACGTGCAAAACACGTTCGGTTGATCGAATATGATCCACGCCTGGTCACGCGTCACACACCGCTGCTGTATATTTATTAATAGTAACGATAAGATAATGAAGTATGTAAATTTATTATATAGCGATGTTTATTGAGTAATATTAATGAATATTCATAAATTTGTATATTAATATATACACACGTATAATTATGTATATTCGTTATCGGGCTTCGCCGATTCGATGAACCGAACCAATTCGTTTGTCGTCTAGTTTGTAACCTGGAATCATTTCACAGCGATTGTGATATATAGTTGTCGTTTATCAGTTTTGCATTCGATCGATCGATCCATGGACGATTTTTCCTCGCATAAAATGGACTTTCCTCGCCACGCGATTTTTCGTTTTGCATTGTGCGATATAAAACGACACGAAAAAAGGCCTCCATGTCAAAACATACAAAAACTTTCGTAACGTTCCTGCTCTTTTTTCTTGTTCCTTTTTCTTTTTGTTTTTTTTTTTTTTTTTTTTTTTTTTTTTTTTTTTTTTTTTTTTTTTTTTTTTTTTTTTTTTTTTTTTTTTTTTTTTTTTTTTTTTTTTTTTTTTTTTTTTTTTTTTTTTTTTTTTTTTTTTTTTTTTTTTTTTTTTAATTCATACATCGTATCGTATAATAATAGATTCGTTCGTCTACTTTACCGGTGCGTTCAGAGACTGGATTTCTTTCGGGAGCATATACCATACACGCCGTGTTACAAGAGAAATAATGCATATCCTTGTTTCATCGTTCTTGCGATTATTATACTATATACAGAATCGAGGTTTTGCGTCGATTCTGCACGTGTATACAGGGTAAATAGAAAGAGCCGAACAATTTATGGTTATCAAGTAGAAAACGATCACACATACTTCAAGTATACGTGGTTCTGTTGTTTTTTTTTCTCTTTTTTTTTTTGTTACGCTGAACCAACAAAAACAGTGGCATCTTTTTTGATACTTTGTTTTTAAATCACTTTTCTCTTCGTCGAATCGACAAGCGCAATTGACACATGTCACGTATGCTCTTCTTTTTTTTTCAAACACGCTAAGTGTCCAATTTTTTCAAGGTCTTTACAACGAACGACTTTTTCCATTCACCAAGATTTCCGGTTTCGTTTGTTAACCGCATGTTAAGACATACACACATGTACACGTACACGTACACATTCTAACGTACACATACATACATAAAACACGTATTCTTAGCGTTTAGACATACCCAGATGTTTTGCTCAAGACGAAATATTTTTGTGTATTAAATCGTGATACGCGAGCTGAAGGCGGTGCGTCATGATACGCGGGACTTTCGAAGCGTGTTTCCTTTGTAACACAGGAAGGCTGAAATTGAAGGGTGCTAAGCTCAAGAATGAATGTATCGTTGCGTGTGAAAGAAGACAGACTGAGTAATTGAGGCGAACATAAGACGAGGAAGAGGGAATGAAAAAGGAGGTAGACTGAAAGATAGCGAGAGAGAGAGAGAGAGAGAGTGAGAGAGGGAGGAACGTGAGAGAAACGAAAGCGAATTGATAAAAGAAAAAAAAAGAAAAACAGTGGAGAAACTATATTTTCGGGAATTTTTTCATGGATCGGTGAAAAATGGAAACAAAGCGAGAAAGGGAGAGAGAGAAAGCGAGCGAGAGCGAGAGAGAGAGAGGTGATTGAGAACGATACTGATGCTTAATAAGCTTCGATTAAAAATGCGTGTTTTTCTTCGAATATTCCATACGTGTTGCTCCAAAATTTTTCCACGAGCGATATTTTATACGTTTCCCTTTAAATTCGCGTTTCAAAGGAGCATAGCGAGGAATATTCGTGGTTTTTAACGCGCGTTTTTCTGCGTTACGGTTCCGCGTGACGAAAAGCAATCATAGCAGACGGAGTTACGTGCGTGTCTGTTGCGTTGAGTGAGGAAGGTGTGCGAGAATTGCGTATGGTATGTCTCTCTGCGAAGTTAGAAACTGTGTTAAAAGGTTGAAGTTAGAAAGTAGGGCGGCTACTTCGGCCACCAAAGATGATTCGTGGAATCGGTAATGTTGAATAAAAAGGAGAGAAAGAGAAAAAAAAGATATAGCGATGATGTGAAGGACATCATGAGATGAGAGGGAGGAGGATGGACAAATTAGAGAGAGAGTGTGTGTGAGTGAGAGAGAAAGAGAGAGAATGAACAGAAACAGAGAAGAATTCAATTCAACGAAGAAGACAGAAAGAAAGAAACAATAGAAACTATCGTGGAAGAAGGAATCAGGAAAAGAAAATAATGGGAGAATCGAATCATTGTCATCCAATAGTCAACGTAAAAGTCTGCGAACATGCGATTATTATTATATAAAGGAACGGAGAGTCCTTCGACACACATAACTGTATTTTTATATTGTTTTTTTTTACCAACCGCGTCCCTCGGACGTCCAACTGATTTTTCTCTTCCGTTTTCTAAAAAAAAGAAAGAAAAGAAAAAAGGAACTTTTTAAACCAATTCGAAGCCCAGCTGCCACGATCCTTTAATTTAAAAAACAATAATAATAATGATAATAATAATAGTTCCAACGTCGATACACTGAACAGCACTGAATATATAATATATAGTTGAAAGTTGTTGTACTGTAAACATTATACAGGGTGTTTCTAAACTTTGTCTCATCTTTTAGAAAGCTCTATCAACCGATTAAGTATAGAAACATTCTTGTATGTGTGCACTGAATACACAGAATTGAGATATCCTCTCGGTGATCGACGATGAGATTCCATATAATATTAAAACAGTTCATCGTTCGAGCGTCACCGGCCAGAGAGAGAGAGAGAGAGAGAGAGTGAGAAAGAAAGAGAGATAGCGAGAGAGTGAGAGAGAGAGAGAGAAAGGGAGACGCGTTTCTCGTCGCGACATCGCGGACGCTGCAATTCACCAAAAGACTGAGCGATCTAATAATGTTCGATTATAGTAGGTAACGATTTTACATTAACCGGAAAGAGGAAGAAGGAAAGAAAAAAAAATACGATAAAATAGCCGGCTGAGACCGCGTGTCGTGTCCTCGCACGTTGTCGAACACGACGTCTCGCGGTCGTTCTTTTTTTTTTTTTTCAAACGAACGAAATGCTTCTTCGCCGCGGGAATCGCTCCCTTCCGCGGCGTTCTTCTCGTACACATTCCTATTACGACGTAGGTTAATTTTACGATATATAAATAACGATTTACATAGAGTTACCGTGCGTCTGATGCGCTTTCAACGACGAAGTTACACACATGGCAATTTTTGAACGAGAAAGAATATCGTATATGGGATGAATAAATTGCGCTTCGTCGTGGAATTGTATCGACGATCGTGGTCCCGCAGGTGTTTCCATATTACTAGTACAATTTTGTGCCAATAACAGATATCGAATGTTAACTAAAGCGCGCGCGAAAGAGAGAGAGCGAGAGAGAGTGAGAGAATATATATAAAAAGAGAGAAAGAGAGACCAGTAATGATATAATGTACACAGAGTATTCTCATAAGCGTGCACATTGTACGCGTGCTCTCACAAACATATACGTTCGTTCGAGAAAAAATATCTTTCGATCGACTCGTTCTATCGGGGTATACTGCTACTTGTTACTCGTGTTTTTTTCTTACTACTCCACTTTTGTACACGCGTTTTATACGAACGATTATTCTAAACGGTCGAAGGTGTTCAATATAAGGAATAAGAGGTGAGATACAGGGTGTCCGAACGATGGTTGAGGTAAATTTTGAGGTTAGGTAGTATTCGTTTAATAAACATCGATTAATAACTTATTTATTTCGAAATTACGACAGATCGTTTTATCTCTGAAAGCATTTGATTCCAAGATCGGTTTTTTGTATGCTACGTACACTTGAAATGTGCCTTGAATAACCATTCTCGAACACCGCACAATTCACTCGATCTTTATCGGGTAGAATCTTTACACAGAATGTCTGTTTTAATTAGAAATGACGTAATATCTCGTAGGGAATTGAAGCTGTCCATAAATTGTCTTTACGAAAATTATTTAACACGTTCCGTGACACGGGAGAATTACAAGTTTTACCAAGGCGTTGAAACGAATTTCACAAGTCACATTAAAACATGTCATAAGGGAACTATCGATATGGGTTGAATTATTGACACTTTGATCTTCCTTTGCACAGATTTTTAACGAAATTTCCATTTCTGAATGTTGTTTTGTCACTGGTACACTTGCCATAGAACGTGCTAAAACGGAGAATAAACAAACACAGCACTCTATTTGAAAAGAAAGGTTACGTTAACCTCGAAATCTCTACGACTACTGTTTTAAGAAAAATTGTTCGGTACAATCGATGGAATCGATATAGTGAGGTTGTAAACATTCTAAGCAGAAGTTTTAAATTATTAATTCACAAATGACGTACATCTGTAGATGTCACTGTTTAACTTACCACCTCACTAGTATTTCACCAACTGTACACACCTTCAATTCTTTCCCGATAATATTTCACCGTTTCCAATTAAAACGGACACTCGCTATAGATCCTAGAGGTAATAGTCGATTCTGTGTCCA